ACTTATGCAAAGAAGCACTTATTTGATACAAAGTGAGCAAGCCCCCAAATAGTCTCTTGGGTGCAGAACTTAAGGAAAAAAACTCAAATTTAACATACCACAGGAATCAATACAAGATGATTGCAGTTTTCTGCGTATTTAAATGATTTGATTTGAAGAAAGGAAAGAAACTAAACTAAATGTGAAAAATCAAATGAGGACTTAAAGCAAGAGGTAAACCAAATAGGTTGAGAAGATTGAGACAACATGGTGCGGGGCTGGATGAACACAGCAGGCCAAGCAGCATCATAGGAGGTTGAGAAGATTGTCTAGTAAGTGAGGGGGGAAAAAACAACTCTTCAATGAGGACAAATGTAGAGAAGGGAAATTGTTCAAAATTGTAGAATACAAAACAGGAAAGGGTATTCAAAGGTTAGTGGTATATTGCTAAAATTAATAACACATTTCTGGTAGCAATAAAGAAGAATATTTAGATGTTGGGATGTATAGCCAAGGGTGTTAGCACATAGAAGTGATTTTATTTTAGTAATAAAGAATGTTAAAGAATAGACAGATTGAATCCTGATGGGACATTTTAGATTGCCATAAATGGTACAACTAACACATACACATTCAAGTTTAACTGTGTAAAATTTATTTCCTTTTGTACAGAGGGTGATGAACATGCAGATCAATGGAGATAGGCGCTGTGGAAAAATATAGAGGAATTGAATAGGTCATTGAGGAGGTGATGATCAAAAGGTATTCATTTCTAGAATTGCCCAGACGAGCTGCAAAATCTTCATCAATCTGTACTTTGCTGTGTACATACAATTGATTCAAGATGCCATTAGATACTGTGATAGGTTTTTATAGAAAAATAAACTTGAAGGAACAAATGGCTTCCATATTTCTAAACCTTGTGATTACACTGACTTCTTAGAGTGATTTAAAAATACTGATGTAAGCAATGTACTCAAAACGCTTAACACCTCTGTGACTCTGATATGGGGTGCCAGTGTTGGACTGGGTTAGACAAAGTCAAAACCACGTGACACCAGGTTATAGTCCAACAGATTTATTTGAAATCACAAGCTTTTGGAGTGCAGTCCCTTCATCAGGTACAGTGAGAGGAGAACACACGAACACAGTGTTTAAAGGCAGAGAGATGAAGGGCAGAGAGATCAAAGCATCATACAAGTGCTGTGAGTAGAGTGAACAAACCTAAAATGGCTGACTGACTGCCTCCTGCAGAATCTTTAATCATTCATACATTCCGGCATTCTAGAAATTGCAGAAGCAGGGTATGGAGAACTCTGTTAGAAAGGAGATGCAAGTTTAAATTGATTAAGATGGAAATTCCAGAATCTGTTTCAAGTCCCTGTCCTGAGACGATTAAAGGTTTCATCAGTGTCTGCCTAACTTTCCAAAATTCAAACAGGCAGAGCGATAGGAATATCCAAAAGGTGACATCTGTGAAAGGTGTTTTGACAGTATCACTTTGATAAATTATCATGATCTCTCTACCTTAATTAGTTTGTACAGTTTTGGATTACTTATTACACTCTCTCTTACACATACACACACACTCTCAGTCTCTCTCTCTCACACACACTCTCCCTCTCTCTTGCTCATGCACACTGAATAACCTATGGGGTGAATCACTTCATTGAAGATGTTTGTTTACTTGCAGATGCTTTCTATTTTGTTCAAGAAACACACAATTTGTAGTCACAGTCAGTCAGTGTGGCATTTTATAAATTTCTGCTTTCGGAATAAAAGCAGCGTGATTACAGGTTAAAACTCAGACGGATTCTAGACAAGGCCTCACACCTACAATTCAGTGTCTGACCTGAGATGTCACCTTTTGGATATTCCTATCGCTCTACCTGTTTGAATTTTGGAAAGTTAGGCAGACATTGATGAAACGTTTAATTATCTCAGGGCAGTGACTTGAAACAGATTCTGGAATTTCCATCTTAATCAATCGAAACTTGCCTCTTCTTTCTAACAGAGTTCTCCATACCCTGCTTCTGCAATTTCTAGAAAGCAGGAATGTATGAATGATTAAAAATTCAACGTGAGGCAGTCAGTCAGCTATTTTAGGTTTGTTCACTCTACTCACAGCACTTGTATGATGCTTTGATCTCTCTGCCTTTAAACTCTGTGTTTGTGAGTTCTCCTCTCACTGCACCTGATGAAAGGGGTGCGCTCCAAAAGCTTGTGATTTCAGATAAACCTGTTGGACTATAACCTGGTGTGTGTGATTTTTGACTTTGCCCCCCTATGTGACTGATAGAAAATGAAGCTGGCTTTGTACATTGCCCATAAGTAGGCTGGTCATTATGTTACCAACAACAAAATAACCAAGTCTTGTTTGTGAAAAAAAGTTGATTGTGCTGATATTATAGAAATAAAACGTAAACAATATGCCAGGCTTATAATTAATCAAAGAGCCTTCTGTAATACTCAGATTATGCCACTAGATGTCATATGAATTGCACACAAATGTCAAACTGGCGTTTGTGAACATAATTTTCAGTTCAAAACAATTTAAATTTTTGTCTAAATGGTGTGGATTTGCAGTGAAACGTTGGCCTCATTCTTCTGAAGAACCCAAAATGGATCATTTATAGATGAGCAAGAGAGGATCAAGGATGGAGTACTGTAATACTTCGGAAAGTGACAAGAGTTTGAGGCAGAGGTCTGTTGAGACAATGTAATGTCTATATAAGAACAGAACCAGAAAGCAGTGTTCTGAAGTAGTACTGTAAATAAATTCACAGAGATTGAAGTGATTGACAGTTTCTAAAGCAGCAGAAAAACCAAGGAAGTTGTTGAGGGTTAGTAAATTACCATTAATCATACTAGAAATTGTCCACGCCTTTGTTACCTCCAAACAGAACTATTCCAATTACAAAGGGACCACATTTTCAAAAATGCAAAACGCGGTCTCCTGAGGTAGTGCTTCCTTACACAACAAACAAGTTTCCTTATTAGTTTCCCAGCTAGTCACCACTAGCTTTCAGTGCCCACTTGCTGCCATCATGATGCACTTTGTGGTTTTCCGTATGTTAATGCCTGCAACATATGTCACAGAGTCTTGTTGAGACAGGGAGTGGTGAGGTGAGTACCTTTAAACTGGAATATCACATGAAGTTGTATGACTGTCTTAGAATGACAATGTGGTTTAGAAACTGTGCTGTAAAACAAGTCAGTAAGGGATAAGGAAAAGGTTTGGCTCCATATCACTGAGGAACTAGGGCTCAGGGAACCCCTGACACAGTCAAAACTTCAGTGCAGCCAGGGAATAGTGTCAGTTCAGTGGTCAAAAAGTTTTTGCTCAATACAGCTGGAATCTGGAACATTGAAGTAAGCCCCTGGGGAGTAGTCAGCTCAGAAACTCAAATGATTGTCTGCTCTGTGAAATTGGTAGATGGGAGCAAAGGAAAGCTTTTGCTCAGAGCAGCTCGGAGCTGGAATGATGCCAGTTTTAATTAGATGCTGGGGTCCACACTAGTGAACTAAGTGGTATGCAGTCTTGGTTAAGAGATTGAGCAGTTGAGGAATAATCAGTTGCTGGGGCATTTTGACTGGTAGTCGTGATGCTTGCCAACTCCATGCAGGTACAAGAAAGAATTTTCAGGCTGAGTAGGATTTACTGTCTAGGGAAAACAGAAACCAAATTTTTGACAAACAGGACCTGAAGTCCCAAGTCAGGAAGACAAGTTTAAATTTTATTTGCTCACGGCGAACACTGACAGTTGTGTAGATTGATGAGAAAGTTCATGGTATCAGCTTTTGGTTGTAATGTATAGTTTATGATGTGTTCAACCATCGCTTACCTGTTAATTTATGTTTAACTCATAAATTATGGGAGCAAGACTACAAGAGAGTATTGGCTGTTGCTTTGCGAGTCTTGTATAATAATGTTTCTTCCTTTTGTTTAAAACTGAAATTTTGTAACTTTATTCTTTTGGTAAATATCTGGGATTTCAAATTTTATCCATTTTACAACAAAAGTTATTGGTCCCTAGCTGCATTGTAACGTTGCATTCCTGAAAAGTGCAACTTCAACAAATCAGATTTTTACATTACAACCAATTTAAAAGCTGTCGTTATGGTCAGCAGACCTTTCTTCAAAAAAAATACTCTGTAAGGTGAAATACTTTTTGCTAAATTCCTATATTATAAATTAAATAACATTTAAAATAAAACTTTAAGATTATAAAAGATTTTCTTTTTTTAAAAAACTCTTTCTAATCGCCTCCTGCTCACTGTCTCTCCCAGTATCTCCTGCTTCCTGACCTCCCTCTTGCCTCATCTCCCGTCCCTGAACCTCCTGGTCCACATCGATCTTTTTTGTCATCCTGCTCCCTGACCTTCTCTTTCGCTGAGCCTCCCACTCCCCATATCACATTTCTCTCCTGAATCCTCACTGTGAAGGGCATGCCTTTAACAGCTTCCGCAAACTGCACACAAAAGCATTTAAAGCAGAAGTAGGGGGTCACATGATTATTGCAATCCAGTCAGCGCATTAAGGGTAGAATTGAGCGCATCAAATATCTCCCTTACGAAGTGACAATTTACGCAAGTTACCAAATATACATGGCCACAAAGAAAATTATAATTCAATAACAGATCAATGTACGAACTCGAGTTAGTTTTCTGCATATACATTATGTACAAAGTCTTTAAACTGTGCAGTTCCTCGTATGGTATGCGTGCATATCCTTTTGGATATTCCACATGTACAATTGCATTATGAAAATAAATCTCCCTTTGCCCGTAGCATCAATCCTTAAGCTTCAAAGAGCATTTTTCAACATTATATAGTCAAATGGATGATAGTGTCATGGAATATGCTTGGAGATATGAATGAAAGATGAATTCGGATAAAGGTAATAATTTCCTAAAGTTGTTGCTGTACTAAAGGAATTGTTTGGAACTTTATCCTTCTGAAAATAGTTTTAGTGGAGCTGTACATCAAATATAGTAGATACAAAGAAATAAACAATCCATTGCATAAAAGATTCTTTATTTTAAAGCTATGTCAAAACAAATTTGGGGCATTTAATAATAAAGGGAAAGTCATCAATAACCTTTTACAAAAGTGTCATACTCCAACCAGTATATACTACAGTGTCTGGTAGTTTGTATGCAGTTGGCTGGACTGCTAGTTTGGGACATAGAGTAATACCAACAGTGTGGGTTCAATTCTTGCGCTGGCTGAGGTTTCCATGAAGAATTCTTCTCTGAACCTCTCTCCTTGCCTGAGTCATGGTGATCCCTAGGTTAAATCACCACCAATCAACTCTCTCCAATGAGAGGGTAGGCCTGTGGCAACTATTCCTTTGCCGTAGCATAAGTGTCGCATACATTTTAAAATTTTGTGCAATCAGATCAGATGGCAAGGAGACCCTCCAGCCAACAATCTGAGTTCAGATGCTGTAGTCATTAATACTCTCTTCAAAAATTCAGTGGGTAATTAGTAGAGAACTACAAAGTATATTTCTTCTTTACACACATTGTTTTGAAATACTTAACAGTTGAGAAAAATTGAGATGCATGGTGATACCTTCAAACAATATTCACTTCGTGTATTTATTCATGCAGTATAACAAAATGTTATTTGGAAAACTGCTTTTCCTAGATGTGAGTACATAAAACAGTCTAAAGTTAGCCTAATAATAAAGCCTGCACGTGGATCTTTGTTACTTCTAACTCAGATGCAATGCAGGCAACTCAACTGACAGTCACTTTTAAATTTGTACTGCATTACTTCTATAGTTATACAAAAACTCAAAAGTTTTCCATCAACAGATAATTCTTTACTGATGTAAACACTTTATTTGGACAGCTACTATTATCATATTACAGGAATATATATGTTTAGTTGTTCATTTGTGGTACACATATACTAGATTAAAACACTAAATTTTAATTTGAAGATATCCTAGCACATTCACAAAAACTATCTTGAAATTAATTAGCATTTTGTAAACTTTTTTTATGAAATTGTCAAGCAAAGTAACTGGACATACAATCGTGGATAATTCATACAACAGTGGGTGATAGCCAGGTGGGTTGCTTTAATGCATTTGCAGTCAACGTTATTACAAAATCTTCTGTTGATTGATTTGCTCTCACAGATTCTTGCCGCACTCAGGGCAAAGGATGTCATCTCGTTCTGTGAGGAAGCCACGCCCCACAAGTGAGATGGAGCATTTTTTGCAGTTGAAGCAATCATTATGCCATTGGCGCTCCTCAAATGAGATGTACTTGGTTCCTCCAAGACCTGGAAATAAGTTAATTCCAAAAGAAGGTAAATAGAGAAATAAGGTTTAACTACAACATACGGGTATATTATGTAGAACAAAGGCAAAATACTGCGGATGCTGAACAAGAGTCATATCAGACTCAAACCATTAACTCTGTTGCTCTTTCCGCAGATGCTGCCAGAACTGCTGAGCTTCTCTAGCATTTTCTGTGTTGGAGTGATATGGAACAGATTACCATGAAGACAGTGGAGGGATAGTAATTTGAAACTGCATTGATATTTAACAAAGATATTCTTTAGAGCGGTTCCGTTTTGCTGTCATAAATTTAGCTCCATGTTTCATGACCTATTCAAGCTGAAAAGACAATGCACAGTCTCCCTAAACTGCTCAAATCTGAACTGAATTTTAATCCAAATCCAATCCATTGCCAAGACTATATTTTTCCGATTACACCAGATAATTTTCTTCACCCCAATCATCACTTTAACTCCCATTTATATCTTTATCATCTCCAGGCTCAATATTTTTAATGCACTCTGAGCCAAATCTCAAAAACAAACCTAAACCACTTCAAATCTGCCCACAAAAGAATCAAACAAAGAACTGCAAATGCTGAAGAGCTAAAACTAAAACAGAGATTGATAGAGAAACTCAGCAGGTCTGGAAGCATTTGTGGAGAGAAAATGGAGCATAGCACTCTGAAGAAAGGGTCACTGGACGTGAAAAGTGAACTCTGTCTTCTCTGTACGGATGCTGCCAATCTTTCTGAGTTTCTCCAGCATTTCCTGTTTTTGTTTAAAACCTGCCCGTACCTGATTTTGATGGAGGTGTTATGAGCAATAGGGAAACGGAAAAAGCCTTTGTATCCCCAAGAAGAAATTATACAACTTTAAAAAAGTACATTAAACACAAATAAGGGAAAGTTCAGCTTGTGGGCTAAACATTTAGATTAATTTACACCTTCCTTCTCTCTGCAGTAACCTGGTGAAAAAAAGTGTCAACACACTGCTGAGCCATCCTGACATTTATCACTCTCCAAGGCTCTACAGAACCTTCCTCCTTTAAGGGGCTCCTTAAAATTTACTTGCTATCCACCTTTTGGTGATCTGAGCTAAAATCACTTCATGTAGCTCAGTTTTTGTGATATATTTTGTAATAAAATGCTCCTTGGGATAACTTACTATGTTAAAGTCACTTTAAATATTTGTTGTTGTTGTTGCTTTTAATTGAACTGAAATTTGCTGTTTCTAAAATTAGGCAGCCACTCAAATCCACTGAATTCCATAGGCAGGGGAGGTGAAAATTACTCCCCAGGTAGTAGAAGAATCAGATTAATTCTAAATATTTTTCTCTACCATATGTCAAGTAAACATGTCTCAGTGGATAAGCAGTACAAAATATTCATTTGAAGTGTCATTGATAATTTCCTCCTTCCACAATCACATCATAATGAAGAACTTACCAGTTATTGGATTGGCACAAGCAGCACACTTCTTGGCATAAAGATTACTGAAGCAATCTAGGCAGTAGGCAAATTCATCCCGTGAGGTGAAACGTTGACCAGCCAGTGGCATTTTGCACCCTGTGCAGACAAAACATTCTTTGTGCCAGGGTTGATCATGGTAAGTGACACCTCCAATAGTAATGGCCTGGTAGGCAAGGTGAAATATAGGCAAGTACAAGTTACTTCAATTTTACCAGGTAATGATTCATAACTATAACACATCTTTAGTTAAAATATTGAGTGTACAATGAAGAAAGGATAAATGATATGATATTTATATTGCTGAAAAAAGCATATTTTGTCAACACTTTTCATCTTGCATTCATGGGGACAATTTAAGAATACAAATTCAATGGAAAATCAACATTTATACTGCACAGTTGGCAAGTGGATTCTGATTAGTAGAGGCATTGCCATGGAGAATTAACCCACTAATGCTGATTGATATTTAACTGCCAGGCTTTGTTTACATTTTAAACAAGGCAGGTTGATTTTCATTGATCAGGGCACAGCCCTGAGAAGAGAACCAATGAATGGCAGTCATCTATTTTGTTCAGTTGAAGCAGGGGCCCTGCATGCACATGTTCTTTCTGTCTGGAAAGAACAGGGCCCTTTGCATTAATATTTGTAGCTTTCAGTACACACAAGTGTGCCACACTGTGAGACTGATTGGTAATCCTAAATTGGCTGTGAGTGTAATTCTTCACGCACTCAGGATTGTCCAACAAATGTTGTCCAATTGCAGAATCACATCTAATGTTCGATGCTGTCTTATGAGTTGTGTAAGCATGGGCTGTTTTGGTCTGGTCAGTACCTTGCTTGTTGTGAACAGCTGAAAGAATATGCTGGAAGGGAAGGGGATTCTGAAATAAACAGGGAGAGGGGGGAGGCGGATAGAAGATGGATAAAGGAGAAGATAGGTGGAGAGGAGACAGGTCAAAGAGGCGGGGTTGGAGCAGTTAAGGTGAATGTAGGTAGGGAGTTAGGGAGGGGATATATCGGTCCAGGGAGGACGGACAGGTCAAGGAGGTGGGATGCGGTTAGTGGGTAGGAGATGGAATTGGGGCTTGAGGTGGGAGGAATGGTTAGGGAGGTGGGGTCGAGCTGGGCTGGTTTTGGGATGCGGTCGGGGGAGGGGAGATTTTGAAGCTTGTGAAGTCCACATTGATACCCTTGGGCTGCAGGGTTCCCAAGCGAAATATGAGATGCTGTTCCTGCAGCTTTCGGGTGACATCATTGTGGCAATGCAGGAGGCCCAGGATGGACATGCCGTCCAAGGAGTGGGAGGGGGAGTTGAAATGGTTCGCGACTGGGAGGTGTAGTTGTTTGTTGCGAACCGAGCGTAAGTGTTCCACAAAGCGGTCCCCAAGCCTCCACTTGGTTTCCCCGATGTAGAGGAGGCCACAACGGGAACAGCGGATACAGTAAACCACATTAGCAGATGTGCAGGTGAACATCTGTTTGATGTGGAAAGTCTTCTTAGGGCCTGGAATGGGGATGAGTGGGGAGGTGTAGGGGCAGGGGTAGCACTTCTTGTGGTTACAGGGAAAAGTGCCAGGGGTGGTGGGGCTGGAGGGGCTGGTGGGGATTATGGAGCGGACAAGGGAGTCCAGAGAGAGTGGTCCCTCCGAAAAGCAGATAAGGGTGGGGAGGGAAAAATGTCTTTGGTAGCCCAAGCTATGCCTGCCTCGTTTGTAGGATACGTGGAACAGTCCCTCTTCCAAAGCTACACTGGCCCTATCCCCCACCTCTTCCTCCGTTACATTGATGACTGTATTGGCACCGCCTCGTGCTCCCACGAGGAGCTCGAACACTTCATCCACTTCACTAACACCTTCCACCCCAACCTTAAGTTCACCTGGATCATCTCTGATACCTCTCTCTCCTTCCTGGACCTCTCTATTTCCATCTCTGGCATCCACCTGGAAACCGATATCCATTTGAAGCCCACCGACTCCCACAGCTACCTAGAATAAACCTCCTCTCACCCACCTTCCTGCAAAAAGGCCATCCTCTATTCCCAAATCCTTTGCCTCCGCCGCATCTGCTCCCGAGATGAGGCATTCCACTCCCGGACATCCCAGATGTCCTCGTTTTTCAAGGACCACAACTTCCCCTCCACAGTGGTTGAAAATGCCCTCAACCGTGTCTCTCGCATTTCCCGCAACTCATCCCTCACACCCCCTCCCCGCAATAACAACCAAAACAGAATCCCCCTTGTCCTCACGTACCACCCCACCAACCTCCGAATCCAACGCAACATCCTTCGACACTTCCGGCATCTGCAATCTGACCCCACTACCAAAGACATTTTTCCTCCCCACCCTTTATCTGCTTTCCGGAGGGACCACTCTCTCCGTGACTCCCTTGTCCACTCCATACTCCCCACCAGCCCCACCACCCCTGGCACTTTTTCCTGCAACCGCAGCAAGTGCTACACCCGCTCCTACACCTCCCCACTCACCCCCATCCCAGGCCCTAAGAAGACCTTCCACATTAAACAGATGTTCACCCGCACATCTGCTAATGTGGTATACTGTATCCGCTGTTCCCGTTGTGGCCTCCTCTACATCGGGGAAACCAAGTGGAGGCTTGGGGACCGCTTTGTGGAACACCTACGCTTGGTTCGCAACAAACAACTACACCTCCCAGTCGCGAACCATTTCAACTCCCCCTCCCACTCCTTGGACGACATGTCCATCCTGGGCCTCCTGCATTGCCACAATGATGTCACCCAAAAGCTGCAGGAACAGCATCTCATATTTCGCTTGGGAACCCTGCAGCCCAAGGGTATCAATGTGGACTTCACAAGCTTCAAAATCTCCCCTCCCCCGACCGCATCCCAAAACCAGCCCAGCTCGTCCCCACCTCCCTAACCATTCCACCCACCTCAAGCCCCAATTCCATCTTTGACCCACAAACCGCATCCCGCCTCCTTGACCTGTCCGTCCTCCCTGGACCGACCTATCCCCTCCCTGACTCCCCACCTATATTCACCTTTACTGGCTCCAACCCCACCTCTTTGTCCTGTCTGTCTCTTCTCCATCTATCTTCTCCTTTATCCATCTTCTATCCTCCTCCCCTTCTCTCCCTATTTATTTCAGAATCCCCTTCCCCTCCCTCATTTCTGAAGAAGGGTCTCGAACCGAAACGTCAGCTTTCCTGCTCCTCTGATGCTGCTTGGCCTGCTGTGTTCATCCAGCTCTACACCTTGTTATCTCAGATTCTCCAGCATCGGCAGTTCCTGCTATCTCTGAAAGAATATGTTGTTTGATAAGTCTTTGGGATGTACGCTCTACAAATCTGGTGTGAGACCAGTACTGAAATTCGTATACTACATTACTTATTGACTTGATGGCAGCATCCTCTTAGTGGCAAACACCACTTACTTTGCTACTGCACAAAAACAGCATGAAACAGTTAGCTTCATCTGTTGCTCAAACATTTGAGATATCTTCAGGATAAATCTGAGATGGACTAAGTACTTTTCAGGACCAGGAGTGAATGCCTTAGGATCTTTTGTGAGTTTACACAATATGTGACAAGAACTAATCTGATCAGAGTAGCCATTACCCAATGGCTTTGATGTGCCCTATTTCAACATCAGCTGACACAGTGAACAAATGGCTCAGGCCCTATTTATGAAGTTACCAATATGCCGCTTTTATAATTTGTGGAACTGTGTGAATCCCTACACATATATTGACAAGCGAAGGTAGGTTCGGTGGCACTGGGATAGTGAGGCTAATTTTCAGTTTTTTACATTTTTATATTTTAACTTTGATGCAGGCAGTAAACACCCATCTGCAGATTGTCTGTGGAAAGAAAATACAGGCTGAGCATATAACCGGTAACCACACTGAATCAACAATTTCTTCACCCCACCAAAAGTAAAAAAAAAATCAGCTCCCATAAACATTTAAATGTATTTCTTAAATCTACTGATCATTTCAGAATATGACCCACAGCTTGTCACTGTCATGGCTTCACTTTGTAATTTACACCCTGGAATTCTTTAAGAGCAAAATTTCCTTCTTAAAAGTGGAGGATACCCAAACTGAATATAAAGCTTCTTTGCACTTCCTTTTAAGGACTGTACCATATTGGCCTATAAAACAATAGAGCTTTACAACTTTGTGCTGACTTTAAATGATTTGTTTACCAGTACATCTGATACCTCAGAAGAAATATAAACCTCACCTTCCCCTTTGAGTGTGTATTTATTTCTGCTATTTTTATCAATACGTTCCTGCATTCTATTGAATTGATCATTTTTTCACTCATTCACTTAAACCAACATTGCAATTTTCTGCTTTCTCGCAATACTATTAGGTTTAAAATAGTGATGGAAAAGGATAGACCGGATCTAAAAGTTAAGGTTCACAATTGGAGGAAGGCCAATTTTGACAGTATTAGGCAAGAACTTGCAAACGTTGATTGGGAGGTGGATGTTCTCAGGTAAACGGGTGGCTGGAAAATGGCAAGCCTCCAAAAATGAGATAATGAGAGTCCAGAGACAGTATGTTCCTGTTAGGGTGAAAGGCAAGGTGTAAGTATAGGGAATGCTGGATTACGAGAGAAATTGAGGTTTTAGTCAAGAATAAGAAGGAAGCATATGCCAGGTATGGTCAGCAGGGACTGAATCCCTAAAAGGGTATAAAGGTAGTAGGAGTATACCTAAGAGGGAATTCGGGGGAGCAAAAAGGGGACATGAGATAGCTTTGGCAAATAGGGCAAATAAGGAGAACCAAAGGGATTCTACAAATATATTAAGAACGAAAGGGTAACTAGGGAGAGAATAAGGCCCCATAAAGACCAGCAAGGCTGCCTATGTGTGGAACCGCAGGAGATGGGGGAGATACTAAACAAGCATTATGCATCAGTGTTTACTGTGGAGAAGGATATGGAAGCTAGAGAATGAGGGGAAATAAATAGTGACATCTTGAAAAATGTCCATCCTGCAGAGGAGGAGGTGCTGAACATCTTAAAACGCATAAAGGTGAGTAAATCCCCGGGACCTGATCAGGTATACCCTAGAACTCTGTGAGAAGCTAGGGAAGAGATTGCTGGGCCCCTTGCTGAGATATTTGTGTCATTGATAGCCACAGGTGAGGTGCTGGGAGACTGGAGGTAGGCTAACGTGGTGCCACTATTTCAAAAAGGTGGTAAGAAAAAGCCAGGGAATTATAGACCAGTGAGCCTGACATCGATGGTGGGCAAGTTGTTGGAGGGAATCCTGAGGGACAGGAATTACTTGTATTTGGAAAGGCAAGGACTGTTTTGGGATAGTTTAGTAAAGCAAACGCCAAATTGGACCGTACTAATAAGGGCATTGAATACAAAAGTTAAACTTGTATTAAACACTATAGTATCATGTATTGTTCTGGGTGTCACATTTAGGAAGGATTTTAGGAAGGTATTGTAGAGGATCCAAAAAAAAAATGAGAATGGGTCCAGGCATAAGGAACTCCAGTTAACAGTGTACGTTGAACCTATTTTCTTTAATGAAGAAAAGGTGGAGAGGGAATTTGACAGCGGTAAGCAAGCTCCTGATGGGGTTGAATAGATCAGATAAGTAGAAACAGTTTATAGTGGTCAAAAATTGAAAACCTGGGTGGGGGGAGGGCATAATTAACAAAAGAAACAATGGTGACATGAGGAAAAGCATCTTCACACAGCAAATGACTAGGATCTGGAATGTATTCTTTGGCAATACAATGGAGTTTCAATCAAGACATTTGTGACAGATTTGGATTTTGTCAGGAAGGGAATTCTATACAATGCTACAGGAGAAGGAGTTGGAGTCGAATTAGGTGAATTACTTCTTCGTAGAGCCAGTGCAGAACACGGTGGGCTCAACAGCTTCCTCTTAGCTGTAACCATTCATTCATTCTATCATTCAGCCAATACAACACAAGAAAAGTGATGGACACATTCAAGTTGGATGTTATCATCTTAAATGCAGATGATGTCACAAAAATACAACATGTAAATAAGGAAGATATGGGGAGTTGGGGGAAAACTGAGATTCCAGAGTTAATAGTGCAGTGATGGAAACAGAAATTATCTTTGTAAATCATTTTCTTATGGTCAGAATACTGAGCTTGACAGCAGAGGAGAGCCATTGGAGAAAGCTGGTGAGATTGATTATACCAAGGACTGCAAAGAAGTCGAGGAGGACAAGAAGGGGTAATGTATAAGAGCAAATAAGATTATATGTTTGTGACCACACTTGGTCAAGGTGCCGTGGCAGGAATGAAATTTGATGGAAGAAATTCTAATAGAGAGAAGGGCATTTTGGAAGGTAACAACTTGCTTAGCAAAGAGAGATCGGAGAAGGAATGTGATAGAGGTTTTGAAAGAGGGGGACCATATCGAGAAGGAACCATGTTTAATTTATAGCTGTCATAGGGACCAGGAAGCTAAGGAGTAGCAAACAGTTCAGTAGCAATAGGGTCAAGGAAACATAAAAAGAGCAATATTTCTTTCTATTCATTCATGGGATGTGGGCATCACCAGCCATACCAGCATTTATTGCCCATCTCTAATTGCCCAGAGGGCAGTTAAGTGTCAACCACATTGCTGTAGGTCTGAAGTCACATGTAGGCCAGACCAGGTAAGGACAGCAGTTTCCTTCCCTAAAGGAGATTATTGAAACCAGATGGGTTTTTCTGGCAATCAACAATGGTTTCATGGTCATCAATAGACTCCTAAGTCCAGAAATACATTGAATTGAAATACCTATCATGGAGGATTTGAACTTAGGTCCCTGGAACATTACCAGGGTCTCTGCATTAATAATCTAGTGATTATACCAGTAGGCCATCACCTCCCATCATCTCGCCTATAGAAAATGTGAGCCCTTAGAGCCGAAAGGGGGAAGATGAGAAATAAACTAAGAAAGCTGTGGTTCATGCCTGGATAGGAGGGAATCTGAGAGGAATATTAGTTCTTGGCAAAGAGAGAAGAAGCAGGTGTTGAAGGTAACTCAATAGATATGATCCCAGGCTTTGTGACAAAGAGATCCATGGGCTTCTCAAACTTGTTGGAGGGGAGAACCAAAAAGACAGAAGAAAGTGCTATAAGTACATGTTGGTACATGGTTGCATTGTCTTTGTTTTAATTTCCAAAAAATTGTCTTAATCTCCTAGTTTTGCATGCAAACAAGTATCTGCTATCTTATCTAAGGAACAATTATTCACTAGTGAAACCAAATATTGAATAGCTTTGGGATCCTTAATAGTCTGTTTCATGAATTCCACACGCAATTTTACCTTCTCTTATTGTTTACATGTAAATTTCAAGTCGGAATTCATAGAATCCCTACAATCTGGAAACAGTCCATTCAGCCCCAACAAGTCCACACCACCCCTCCAAAGATCATCCCACCCAGACCCATCCCCATCCCCCTACCCTGTAACCCTGTATTTCCCATGGCTAATCCACCTAACTTACACGCCCCTAGACACTACAGACAATTTTATCACACCCAATCCACCTAACCTGAACATCTTTGAAATGTGGGAAGAAACTGGAGCACCTGGAGGAAACCCACGCAGACACAGGAAGACTGTGCAAACTCCACACAGTCACACAAGAATGGAATCAAACCCGGGTCCCTGGCACCGTGAGGCAGCAGTGCTAACCACTGAGCCACCATGTCGCCCCGTTGCTATAACCAACAATTAGGAACAGAACTTCCAGAAGATTTTTTTCGTTTGTTATTGATTCAGTGCTGCTGGTGTTAGTTCTGGTCTCCCTAGTGCTTTCCACTGGAGTTAATTAGCTTAGCACAAGGAAACCCGAACGTTCTTGATTTGACTAGCCCAGTGCCACATCACACAATTGGTTTAAATCCATTGAAAGTGTTACCACCCACTGACCTTGTAGTTTAGTGTCTCACCTTCTTGCACTGCACACAATGCATGGCAAACTGCTTTTCATAACAAGGCACACAGTAGTTCTCATTGTCTTTTGGGATGAAACTTTTTGTGCCTATTGGTTGTTGGCAACGATGACAGATGAAACAAGTCTCATGCCAGCTGTTACCCATGTACTCCATCTTGCGAGTGCCTATGTTTTAGTAAGAGATGCAAAGGATATTTAAAATCCAGATGCTACCTCTTCTATTCTCACCAAGTCATTTTCAAAAAGTAAAGAATAGGCAATAGTTTTCCTGTAGCAGCCTGTGGAGCGTGCTATACAAGGCATTATTATTAGATCTTGTCAGCTGAAGCTGAAACGAGCTAATGACCTGTAACACAATAACATTAAAATGTTTACTAAATTACATTTTCTCAGAATTTAAGTGTCAGCTAAAGACACTAAACAATTAAAATAATTTTCTTCTTCCCATCTGTCTAGGAGTTAGCAAAGTTTACTTCACAAAGATTGACTCTATTGGTGCAAATTTAATGAAGTTATTCTGCCGCCTCAGCTAGTCATTGCTACTTTACAGAAAATCACAAAGAAAGAACACTGGAGCAAAACACTGTCTATCAATGTGTTTCTGAAATTACCCTCTGTTGCAGACATCTTCTTCTGAAAGTATGACATTTGGAGCTCAGCTTTTCTCGATTGTGTGTGTGTGTGTGTTGTGTGTGTATATGCTTGTGAGAGATGTAATGGCTGATTTTGCGGTTACTTAGGGAATGACATCTCTACGTTTATGGCATTGAAATTCCTCTTAAGCACAGAACTGTTCTATTTTTAGATGAGAAAACTCAGCCCCAATGAAAATTTCATTTCAGCAATGGGTCTAAAATCTCATAGTTTGCAACCCTATCTATGATAATTCATCACAGCATAACATTCATTTTTGACAGTTACAGCCAGGCAGAATGAGCATCAACTTTGTATGTTAATTGGATATAACACACAGGATGCACCATCTGGTCATCATCAATCTGGGGTGGTCACAGTTGCACATAACAGTCATATCAAATAAATAGTTTAACTAAAATATGTTATGTAGATGACACTTTGCTGGAGCAACCCACTTAATGCCAGTTTAAAGAAGATCGCCAAATGTTGGATTTGATAATAGCTCTGAGATTCAGCTCAGCAATATTCAGTTTAGCAGTAACAGAACAGAATTGCCGTATACTCATCATAACAACAGTTGAATTAGTCAACACTGATTGAGTAAATGATGTCAAACAATCATAAATACTGATAATCTAGAGATTGAATGGAAAAAATAAATAATTTATATTTATACGGTGCTTTTCATGAAATCATAAGCCAGGGGTGACTTTTTTGACATGTCGGCAATATTGTAATGTTTGAGAATAAAGCAGTCAATTTGTGTACATGTCTCACAGACAGCAATGAGATGACATATTTTTAGTGACGGTTCAAAGATAAACATTGATCAGGACAAGAGGAAAACACTCCTCCTACACTTTAAATCATCATCTTTTGCATTCTCGAGAGTGGTCACCAGTTTAACATCTAAACGTGGCAGTACTACTGATAGTGCAAATCTTAAATTATGTTTTGGTCTCTGGAATGGAAACTCTTGAACCTATAATCTTCTGATTCAGAGGCAGCAGATACTGGCATTAAGTGAAGGGGAGGACTGGAAACAGAATTATCTTGATGGTACATAAATATTGACTGCAGTTTTGTGAGTACAGCAGTAAACCAATAATCCATGCAGTCCCTGTGAAAGCATAATATACAGCTTATTAATAATTGAATTCTGACAGTATTGCTACAGGCTTTACTTTTTTTGTATCCTGCTGGCAACAGTGCAAATAAAGCTAAAGACTATTTTCTCATGACAGTTCTTCAACCAAATATTTAATTCAACCATTCACAGAGAAGAAAAACCTCACTGATTTCAGTTGCCAATACTGGGAGCTTCCAGGTCTGTTTTGTGACAAATCAGTCCTAGGAAACAATGAATGCAAACCTGTTAGTTTCACTCTTTCACAGATCATTTCACCTGGCAACATTGTTTCCAATTCTTAAATTCATAGGCCTCATAAACTGAACTCAAACTGATTGTTGGCTTCTAACCTTGCCAGAGAATTTGGGATCAGTGTGCGGGCACCTAAATTGTATGACGCATGTTGGTTCAAGTTTCATTATGTACTCATATATCATTTGATCTATGCGGCCGAAAAATGCATTTTTTGGAATGGATCACACCAATCTTCACTTTATCTCACTCAGTATACCAGCCTCCAGCATGAAGAAGCCAGAAAATGTTGGTGATGGCAGAATCTCAGGACAACTCTTTGATAGTTGTGAAAAGCCATATTGAGAAGCTTTGTGGATATTTGGGGCTGTTATATATATTCAAATAACTTTAGTTACGTTATTAACCAGGTCTTGAGACCACAACCACAGAGATTTACATATAGCAGAGACTGAAGCAGTGACTCAATTTAACTTAGGTGATATAACTGAGCAGTTCAAGAACTCAAATTACAGTACAAAATAAACAAAACTTAACCCATATATTTTCTGAAAGAAATACTTTGACCAAAGCAAAAATAAATTTGACATATTTTCTGACATAACTGAAAAAATAACAATCTACAGATGATATTTTTTAAATGTTTGATTTGCAATGATTTGCAACTTAAGCAATGCTTCAGTAAAATATAATAGATAATTATGACGATTTTAACATTTTACTTTCAACTCCATTGTCTTCAGACTGAGGGTAGCCAGTTTTCTGGTTTGTGAGTTTGATTTAAATCCCTTTAGGTGCAATAAAAGGTTATATTTAAAAGAAAATAATAATTTAATGAGATGTGGGCATCAGTAATTGCCCTTAACAATTGAGTGGCCATTTCGGAAGGGTGGTTAAGAGTAAAGTACATTGCTATGGATCTGGAGTCACTTATTAGCCAGAACAGAAAAAAGAAGCAAAGTTGCTTCACTAAAGGACATTGACAAGATAGGATTTTGCAATAATTGATGATACTTTCTTGGTCATCACTACTGTGCTTTCAACTCAAGAATCTTAAAATGTTCTTAATTTAATTGAATTTAAATTCACCTGCTGTTGTGGGGAGTCTTGAATTCATGCCCCAGGACATTAGTTTGAGTCTCCAGATTGCCACTACACATTATCTTCCCATATGCTAGCATGTTGTGCTAGTAATAGAAGAAAACCTGAAAGTGATAATAATAGGGAGAGGTGACGGCCTGGCGGTGTTATTGCTGGACTGTTAATCTAGAGAGAACAGGTAATGTTCTGGGAACCCACATTCAAATCCTGCCATGGCAGATGGTGGAATTTGAATTCAGCAAAAATCTGGAATTAAAGAGTCTGTTAATGACCGTGAAGCCATTGCCAATTGTTCGAAAAACTATCTGATTCCCTAATGTCCTTTAGGGAAGGAAACTACCATCCCTACCTGGACTATATGTGACTCCAGATCCACAGCAAGGTGGTTGACTCAACTGCTGTCTGGGATGAGCAATAAATGCTACTTAGCTAGTGACACCCTCATCCCGTGAATGAATTTTAAAAAAAGTTGGAAGGCAACTTGGGTTGTTGTTTTCAATGTGAAGGACATCTCAAAATCTAAAACTGTTCCCTCTCTCTTTACTTGAAAGCAGTTGTTATATTCATCATTCTCAACAAGTACGAATAGTAGGCGTATTTTGTGGTTGCCATCATTTGCCCAGAATGGGAATTATAATGCTAAATGGAGATTATAATGCTAGACACCAGAATGACCAGCTGTCAAACTTAGATAAAAACAAAAAAAAATTACAAACGCTCAGCAATATGTAAAACATTCTTAGGGAGAACAAATCAATTAGCATTTTGATTGTGGGTCCTCTAAGAAAACTGATCCATTCTGTCCACAGATTCTGATTGATTATCTAAATTTTGGGAGTGTTTCAAACTTCCAAAGGCTGATTTCCACTTTTGGCAATATGGTAACACTTGTGGTATTGGGTTGGCTGCTTATTAAATAATCTACCTAATATTGCCTACCTAATATTGCTCTCCATTTCCTACTATCTGTTTTCCCTTATAATTGAAAGTTAATATTAGAACTTCAGCAACTTCCAGGCTTGCTCCAACAGGGGGTTATTTCTAGATTGTACCCTTATCCACTGGGCTGTGAACTCTGCAGCAAGTGAATCTGACAAGAGAGGGGGAAAAAATCTATTTGGATCTGTTTTCTTCTGCACTGCAGAAAATAGAAGCAACACTGATGGTGACCCAAGTATTAATCTATAGCCCGAACCTTCTCAACTCAAGACTGGGGTTGTGCAATGCATTAATGAGCAAAGAAAGTGAAAGAACATTTGGACCATACCTACTGGTTTGAAGAATCAATCTACCAACAGAAAATATGATTTCATTGATTCAGGTAGACATTCAAGAGTTAAAATAGGTAAACTTTGCTCTGACCTGGAATTATTGTCTTCTTGCAACTCTGACACTTGGAGGAATACTCGTTTGAATAACAGTCAGTACAGAGCAATTGGTCATCCTTGGCAGCGAAAGGCTTATCCGCCAGTGACCGTTTGCACTGAAAGCAATGAAAGCAGGCTTCATGCCAGTGGCGATCCTTATAGGACAAGTCCTGTTGGAATCAAATTATAAAATAGAAATGCAAAGCTGCAGCATCTCAAATTGTAGATTAAATGTCACACAGTTTACATTAGAGTTAATGTTCTCTGCCTCTATGAGGGTAGGGCGATGTCTCGATGTGTCCTGTAGATAACACAGATGTTTTTGGTTTACATTCTTCTTTGACAATTAAAAGCATGAGCTGTACAAAAATGATCTTGCACATATGCACAGGAAGTGGCTGCACTAATAACTTAAAAATGTAGAAGTAACTCCACAGTAACTCCTGTAGAGATTTATCTTTATGGAAAATGTCAGCAGAGGTTAGCAAATTACTTTAGAGAGCATGCTTAACTATAATAAAAAGTGAAACTGGAAAGTATTCATTTCTTTCAAACTAGTCCCTTATATCGAAATCTTTTGCACTTATAGCCATCGTTATACATGCATTCATGGCTGATGTACCACATATGGTTCAGTTTACATATTATAGAGATGGAATAATGGATAGTAAGCATTAGAAACTGGTACATAGATAGCCCTCAAGAAATTTTTTGGTGAATTTACTTGCTGCCACCTCATTGGGTGGACGCTGTCTAGCAATGAGTGTATTGACATACAGAAAAAGACCAATTGGTCCAACAAACCTCTCCTATCCTCCATGGCCCAGCCTACACACTCCATTAACCCTATCTCACCCCGCACACCACCTCACCCCATCATAGCCACCTAGAGGAAGCAGAAAAGCAAATAAGTAAAACTTTCAAGCAAAATCATTGGTGATATTCTTCTCTGACCCCCAGAAGCAATCAGTAGTGAGTAAGTGCTATTAGTCCATCTATTTTATAATTAAGTGTCCTCGTACAGGAACTTGTCCAGTTCCATTTTGAATTCTTGCTGGAAATCACACTCACATCATACATTGGTAACTTAATCCATAAATCGATGACTCAGTGTGAATAGAACCTGCTGGCATTGAAACTAGCTCTATGGTTAACATCTAAATTGCCCAAACAGAGCCAAATATGACTTTTTTGTGTCAAACCTTTTGGCGTAGAAGGAACACTTGAATTGTTACCCTTGAATCCGAGATAGTAGGAACTGCAGATGCTGGAGAATCCGAGACAACAAGGTGCAGGGCTGGATGAACACAGCAGGCCAAGCAGCATCATAGGAGCAGAGAGGCTGACGTTTCGGGCCTAGACCCTTCATCAAAAAGCTTTTCTGATGAAGGGTCCAGGCCCGAAACGTCAGCCTTTCTGCTCCTATGATGCTGCTTGGCCTGCTGTGTTCATCCAGCCCTGCACCTTGTTGTCCTGAATTGTTACCCTGATGGGTTAAAGACAAATGGTAAAAATCAGATTTGATCAAAGGAAATTAGTACTGGCATCACCTCACAAATGCGAAATATGATTTTCTGTCACACACATTTTGGTATGTTTTCTGGAAATATATAAAATAATCTTAAAAATGTAGATTAGAAATTTTTTATTTTGTCTTTCCCACAGGTTTTATAGCCAGTTCAAAGCAACATTAGACTATTTCCCTCTATGTGAAACATGGGTGGCAGTTTATGATATTTAAATTAATATGAAAGGAAAATTCTTCAGAAATAGCTCATACTTTGAAAAGGGTATGACTTTGTTTATTGAAAACTCAGCAGATGAAAAGATGTAATGAGGAGAAGAAACCCTGGTGCCTGAACATCAAATGTTGGGGCATTGAATTCTCTCTAATCTCTTGCTATTTAATTGATTTTTACCAGAGTGCCAGTGTGAGTGGTACGGTTAGCTTCCTTGACCAGTGATGATAAAATTAGCAAGAATTTCATTAACTGCCGAATCATCTTTCTGCTAACAATGAGAATGAGTGATCATCAATTGAGTACAGTGCTGATTTTCACTGTGATGAAGTCTATGGTGATATAACTTTCCTTGACTCTCTGTTCGACTTCAAACAAGGTGGATAACTATTTGGTTCACAAAACAGAGGGCAACTGTTATGTGATGAAAAATGAGTTGTGATCTTAAAAAGGAAGTAGGAGAAAGATAATTTGAGGTGAAATTGGGAGGCGAAAATAAAAGTTGTACAGAAGACATTGGCTACTGCATAAATTTTGACCATTATGCCCTTGTGTATCTTTTTTGGTTATTTAGTAGCTTACTGTATTAGAGGAAATGGTGAATGAATTAAAAATGTTGCATAACTCTCTGGGTTGGATAAAATTCAAAGATATTTAAACTGTCAGATCAAGATCTGGTTTATTGTATTCTTGTTTAACAACTAAAAATATATGAAACAACCACATTTTGACATTATAATGTCTCAAAGCAAAGTGCCTTTTCTCAGGACAAAAGTATTCATAAAACTATACTAATAACTTAGTAGATAGTGCATTACATATTCTGCAGTGAGGCCTGCAAACTAAGGAAGCCCAGGCTCAATCTTTGATATGAACTGAGTTAATTGCTCTGGTAAGAGTGTGCAAAGATGACTGTGCAGTGGATCGTTGTAACCAAGAACTTCTATCAAACTTTATACAATATTTATAGAGGTAAGTAGAAGAGGACATTCTGACAACTCTACTGCTCAGGACCTAACTCCATCTGCTCCCACCTCAGCAGACATTATCGATGTCATATGCTATCAATTAGAATAGTAGAAGATAACCATTAACCTACACCTCCCCCAAAGTCTTTCATTTCGATCTATTTAAATCATTATCGATTATCTATTAGCATTTCTCTTAACATTTAACCATTACCAATGCAATCATCCCACTTTCCCCCTTCAAAGTCTCTGTCTCAGTTCACCTTCAGGAGGATAAGATGTTGGTAATTGTATTTCTGCTCCTTCCTGGAATTATCTTGAGCAGACTGGGCATGTAATGTGATACAACAACTGGTACCTGGGTTGTGTCAGTCACAACTACTTGAATGCAACAGCAGTGAAGAGAAGTCCATGAAGGCTGGACTTGGGAGACAAACCAACAGCAAATGGAAGAATCAAAGACAGGAAATGGGAAAGGAGATGGCTTTAGATCAAACATACTTCTTTTTCTCTCTGGAAGCAAAACGTCAGCCCTGACTCTGCAAAAAGGAGCACCTGCAGTTCCTACACTGTGCACCATAGAAATAATCATGAAGGAATTACTGAACTTCACCTCTAGGAATGAGGAAGAAGGATAGTCAGAAAAGGAAAGACTTTCTAGTGGGCCAGTCCATGATTTTGGGGAGGAAATGGACATGTCAGTTACTGTAGGTAGTGGAGTTGCTTTTTTAACTCCAGAAGCTTAAGACTGCTCTAGAGGGTGTTCTCTGTGGATCCGAAATACGTGTTTCACCTTGCCAAGGCAATGGCAATGCTGTTACTGGGCATGTTGGAAGAGACACAGACAATACTGGAGCCTTAGGAATGATCGGTGGGTGGTGGGAGGACTACTCCACACACATGTAAACCTGAGCCAAACTTGAAGGACACTAAAGGAATCAGAGATAGTAGGGACTGCAGATGCTGGAGAATCCGAGACAACAAGGTGCAGGGCTGGATGAACACAGCAGGCCAAGCAGCATCATAGGAGCAGAGAGGCTGACGTTTCGGGCCTAGACCCTTCATCTGATGAAGGGT